GAACTGCTGAAAAGGCATTGTGAAATACTTTGTTTTCTATAGCTGGTTATGAGAACCATATGATGTCGCGCGGCCACTATTGAGATTTTGGATTTCTGATATTTTACTAGGTAAGTCTGGAGGGATTTCTGCCAAGAGCCAGATAATTACGAGATTGGTTTCTGTGCGTCTGGTGTTGTTTGCCAACTTCTTTGTTTTATTTATTCATTTTTCACATACAGGTGTAACCATGTAATAATTGTTTATCACTTCCTATTTCATTGATTGTACTTAGTATGTAGCTATTTTATTCCAAATGGCACAATTTCATCTTTTCTAATGACAGTGGAATTCTTAATGTATGTACTTTAGATTCTTTGTCCAGCCATCTGATATTAGGCATCTCAGTTGATTCCATGTTGGTAACTACGGTGAATAATGCTGCTGTACATAGAAGAACGGATATATCTTTTCAAATTAGAGTTTCCATTTTCCTCAAGCAGATGCCTAGGAAAGTATATCTATTTTTTACTGCTTCCTCATCAAACACTGCTATGGAGAAGATGAGCATTAGGAAATCATCTTGACTATTATAAATTTTTCAAATTTTAAGCAAGAAAAGAATATAACATATGAAAATACAATAATATATTCAAAACTATAAAGAAGACTATCTTTGTCTTTTTCATGTTCTGCTTCATCGTACTGTATAGAATATAACATGGGGTTCTCTTTTTTTCATGGGATTTACAAAATACTACATAAGGTTTTTATACATTTTGTTAAAAGTACATTCTAACTAATTTTGAGTTAAAACATTAATGTTTTTAATTAACATTAATTAACATTTAAAATGTTTTTTAAAGATTGGGGATTTAATCTACATTCACTCTCTAGAGTCAGAAATTAAGAAAAAAACAAAGAACTACTTTCTTTTGTAATGTGCTTATTTACTTTTTTATTGTGAAAAACTCAAAAGCTGCTAGAACATCACTAGTACAGGGAAAACATACTAATTGTGAGAGTTCATATAAGGAGTATTAGTATACCTTTCCTTATTCTTTTTTTGGTGGGGGAATCTTGGGAGGCCATATCCAGCAATAATCAGGGGTTACTCCTGGCTCTGCACTCAGAAATTACTCCTGGTGGAGCTTGGGGGACCATATGGGATACTTGGGATCAAACCCTGGTCAACCTTATGCAGAGCAAATGCCATATCTGCTGTACTGTCGCTCCATTCCTACTTTGTTTTTTCTTTTTTCTTTTTTTTTCTTTTTTTTCTTTTTTTTTCTTTTTTGGGTCACACCTGGTGATGCACTGGGGTTACTCCTGCCTCTGCACTCAGGAATCACCCCTGGTGGTGCTCAGGGGATCACATAGGATTCTGGGAATCGAATCCGGGTCTTCCACGAGCAAGGCAAACACCCTACCCTCTGTACTATAGATCTAGCCCCTCCATTCCTACTTAGCATTATTCTAAAATGATGAAATCACATATCTTAGAAGTATATTTTATAATCCTGGAATGAACTGCCATAGTTTAACTAAAACAGTGATTTTAGAAGTTTTAAAACAGCGCCAGAGCAATAGTACAGTGGGTAGGGTGTTTGCCTTGCATATAGCCAAACCTAGGTTTGATCCCCAACATATCATATGGTCACCCCTAACACCTCCAGGTATAATTCCTGAGTGCAGAGCCAGGATCAACCCCTCAGCACTGCAGAGTGTGGCAAAAAAAGTTTTAAAACATGGAGGAGCACCAGAGTGATAGTACAGTGGCTAGGGCATTTGCCTTGCATGCTGTTGACCTGGGTTCAATCCCCAAGACTGTGAATGGTTCCCTGAGCATTGCCAAGGGTGATTCCTAAGTGCAGAGTCAATAGTAACCCCTGAGCATCGCCGGGTTTGACCCAAAAACTAAATAAATAAAAAATAAAACAACAAAAAGTGGGAAAAGAACCAAGAATGCCCTGAGTTTAATCCCTGAACCTCCCTGGCCTCCCAGACACTGCCAGGAATGACCTCCTCAACTACCAACACCACCTTATGTAAGAGTTATGTAGATCGATTTGGGATGCTTTGGTTGTTTTTTTTTAAGACATAGTGGTTTTTGTTTGTTTTATTTTTGGGTCATACCTGACAGTGCTCAGAGGTTACTCCTGGCTTTGCACACAGGAATTACTCCTGGAGTTGCTCAGGGGACCATATAGGATGATGAGGATTGAACCACCAGGGATTGAACCCAGGTCAGCCGCATGCAAGACAAATACCCTACCCACTGTACTATTGCTCCGGCTCCAAGACATAGTGTTTTTTGTTAAATCAAGTTTTACTTGAATTTTAGGTACTTTGGGCGATGGGGGACCAGTGGTAGAGGCTCACCTGATGGTGTTCAGAGCTTATTCCAGGTTGCATAAGTGCAGAGCATTTATAAGCATTATAAAAATAGATTATTGGGTGGCTGAAGGCTATACGTAGCTGTGCTAAGGAATTACTATTAGCTCTGTGCTCAGGGAACCTGATGTAATCCCTGAGGTCCAACCTGAGTGAGGCTTATGTAAGCGCCTTACACACTGTTTTATCCCTCCAACTCCTAACTGTATTATTTATCTATACAGGAATACAAGCAGAAATATATAGCTGATAGAGAGAAATGGTTGGAAGAAAAAATGATGCTAATCACTCAAGCAAGAGAAGCTGAGAATCTAAGAAACAAGGAAATGAAAAAAATTGTTGAAGACAGAGAACGTTGTTTAAAGCAAGTGGTTGGTAACAATTATACATTCTCTGCATGTGTCTCCTCTGCTTTCTCCCCTTTTCTTCGTTGCTGTTGTGATTGCTCTAAGGCCCTGTGTCTCATACACTTTGGTTGCAGTGCTTACACGCAGTTGGTTATGGCACACCGGAGATCGCAGATTTTGTTGTGGTGCCAAGGATCACAAACTGCAGTGCTGCTGGGATTACGCTCAGCACCATGGGGGTGGCACTAGGGACCTCCAGGTTCTGCCTCAGACCCTCAAGAAAGGCTCTGAGCCACATCTCCAGGCCCCAGCTGCTTTCCTCGCTGGGGTCCCTTGGAACAGCTAGGTGCTGGGGCAGGAGACTCATTGGGTCTCATTCTCCTAAAGAGCCTTGAATATAATCTCAGGGCTAGGACGAAAGAGACGTTACTGGGGCCTGCTCGAGGCAATCGACAAATAACAGGATGATGAATGAATGAATGAAAAAGAAATAACTCATTCTCCAATGTTTTGGTCCTACCTTCCCTGTAAATTTAATTGGGAAATAAGTAATTTGTAATGTAGTCCGTAATATACTTTAGGATGGTGGAATGTGGTTTCACTTCAATTCCTGCTGATATTTAAAATATTGGTGGCATCCTACTTTTACTATTTACTAAAGAAAAAAACTATTTTAAAATAAACACAATGTATATCATACAAAATCATTCAGAAGCTAGATTGTTGGGGCTGGGAGCCCTTGATAAACAGAATTCTTTTTCTTTTTTTTTTTTTTTGAGGGGCACCTTTGGTACCCAGAGGGCCGCACCCAGTGATCATTGGCCAACCAGACCTTTTTTGTTGTACCTTGTTTTGGGGGGAGTGTGGGGAGGCCATACCCAAGAGTACTCGGGGCTTACTCATGTATGTATCTGCACTTAAGGGTCACTCCTGATAGTATTCTGGGAACCACAGTGGTCCCGGGGATTGAACTTGTGTTGGCCATATGCAAGACAAGTGACTTCCCTGTATTGTCACCCTGCCCTGGCCAACAAGACGCAGTAGCCCAAGAATATAGCACTACTCGAGGGGCCAAAGACTACCAGGACCACCCAGCAATACCAGGACCACACTTGGTATTGGGGGCTTCAAAGGCTGTACCTGACAATGCCAAGGGAATAAGGGACGCATTTTACAAATGTTCCTTCTCCGAGAATCCCATCACACCCCATCTAGATCTAGTCTTTCTGGAATACATGACCTGCACTTAAAATTTTGCAGCTCAGGGCCAGAGAGATAATATAATGGGTAAGGTGCTTTCCTTGCATGCAGCCAACCCGTTTCGATCCCCAGCATCTCGTATGTTCCTCTGAGCACTGACAGGAGCAATTCCTCGGTGACAATCCAGGGGTAATTCCTGAGCATCACCAAGTGTGATAACCCCCTCACTCCCCCCAAAAGAAATTTTTATGAGGGCTAGGCAGAGAGCTCAGAGATGGAATGCACAGAGCCTGGGTTTAATTGCTCTGGTACCACATGGGCCCAAGATTAAGAACAATCTGATAAATCTCTCTAAATACTTTAAGTGGGGTTTAGGAGTAGAATATATCCTATGACGAAGAAAATGGGCTAGAGATTATACAGCACAGGGAGGTTTAGTTATCAATTTGGTCTTTACTGTTAGGCTGTCATGGCCTTTGCAAAAGTCCTCTAGCTTTATGGGCTGGAATGAGAGTAAGTTAGGGTGCCTGCTTTGCTGGGTTCAATCCTCATACTATATATGGTCCACTGAGCCAAGCCAGGAGTGATCCTTGAGCACAGAACCAGAAATAACCCCTGAGCACTGCTAAGTATGACTAAAGAAAAATGAAAAGGATCCTCTAGTTTTTTTTTTAATTTGTGTTATTAAAGAAGTTTTGAGGGCTAGAGCAATAGTATAGTGGATAGGGTGTATGTCTTGCATGTGGCCAACCCAGGTTTGATCCCCTACCCTGTATGGTCCCCTGAGCACTGCCAGGAGTAATTCCTGATGCAGAGCCAGGAGTAACCTCTGAGCATTTCAGGTGTGGCCAAAAACAAAAAAATCAGGCTGGAAAGTTACCAGCCTTTCCTGAATTTCTGAAGATGTAAGAGGGGACAAAGGAAAATTAGGTGGTCATTGAAGAAGTCTTGAGTAGAAGATTTGTTTAATCTACCCAAGTTGTGATTTTTATGTTCTTTGGGTTTTTTTAAGGTTAAGTAATTCAATATAATATAATTTCTTGTTACGATGACTTGTTGTTTTAAATATTCTTACTTTAGGAAACACAGACCATGGATAGCAAATCTAGACCTGAGAGTTCAACAGATTCTGGCAGAGCTGACCCCCAGTCAACAAGTTTTGAAGTTTGTAGCAATGAAGTCGAGGTGCGTATATGGTGTCACGGTCCTTTACCCCCTTCTTCCCTTTTTTTGGCAGCACCAAGGATGGCAGTCCCAGGGCTTCCCCCAGGGCAGTGCTCTCCACTGAGCCAAGGCCTCCACAATCCATTTTTATCCTCTACCTTTGGCCTTTAATTACTGAATAGCATTTGCAAGGTAATTTGTCAGTTTTTGTAAGTGTTATTATGTAGTTTAATATACAGTTATATGATCTCTGGGGTCTGGGAAAGTAATTAAGCTTTTCAGGAGTGTTGAAACTACTTTGGGAGAATAGATTACCAAATGGATATTATTCTTTCCAAATTATCACCTAAAATAGCAGCTGCATAAGTATAAACAAACTTGGGGAATCAAAAATATCTTTAGGGGGCTGGAACGATATTATAGCTCGTAGGGCACTTGTCTTGCACGTGGCTGACCCCTGGGTTCAATCCCCTAGACAATTATGGGTCCCCTGAACTTGCTGGGAGTGATTTTCTGAGTACAGAGCCAGGAGTAACCCCTGAACATTGCCAGATATGGTCCAAAATTTTTTTTAAAAAGTTATAAAAGATAAGATAGAGATGATTATTTTTTCTTATAAGAGTTTTCTTTGGGGGGGGGGCGGGGGCTGGAGCGGGTAGGGCGTTTGCCTTGCACGCGGCTGACCCGGGCTCGATTCCCAGCATCCCATATGGTCCCCTGAGTACCGCCAGGAATAAATCCTGAGTGCAGAACCAGGAGTAAGCCCTGTGCATTGCTGGGTGTGACCCAAAAAAACGCCAAAAAAAAAGTTTTCTTTTGGTTGGGGGAGGAACAAGGGAGGGTCCATTCAGTGATGCAGTATCCAAGAGACACTGCAGTGCATGACATCATGTCTGGGGCCCTCCAGATCTAAGAATACACTCTAGCCCTTTGATTTATTTCCCCAGCCTCTGCAGAAGCATCTTTTTTTTTTACTTTTTTGGGTGATTATGGGGGGAGGGCCTCGCAAGTGGAGTTCTAGAGCCAGTCCAGGTGATACTGTGCCAAGAAGGCCATTTGGTTGAATGGCTGGGGCCCTGTGTTACCAAGAACCATCAGAACCATCCCAACAGTGCTCGGTCATGCAGGTGGTGCTGGGCTCAAACTGGGGTCAACATGTGCCCTAACCACTATTGTTATCTCCCTGTCCCTGAAATGTTTCTTTAATAAGCATTTTATTAAATTGTATGATTGGGTGGGGGATTGTTCTTGGGTTTAGGTTTGGTTTGGTTTGGTTTGGTTTGGTTTGGTTTGGTTTAGGGAGGGGAAGTTTTGGAACACACTTAGCGAAGCTCAGGGGTTACTCCTGGTTCTGCATTCAGGAATTACTCCTGGCAGTGCTTGAGTAACCAGAAGGAATGCCAGAGATCAAACCCAGGTCAGCTTCATGCAAGGCCTTACCTGCTGTACTATCACTCTGGCCCAAAATTGTATTGATTTTTAATGATATACAATAATTTTGTCAATGAACCTCAGTAATTCACAATGAGATTCCTTAATTTTCAGTGGACTTTAGATTTCTGTGTATCATTTTGAGAAATAAATAAAGAAATTTTCTAATTGTCTGATAGTAGATAAAAATTTTATTCACCCCAAGTTTTGAAGATAAAATTAATACTTCATATGTATCTTTGAGCACATTTATTGGTAGCACTCAGTATTGAACCTTGCTGATCTGCTGCTATATAGATAGTATGTACAGGCATAGATCTAGAGGTTGTATAGGGACTTCAAAGAAGACATGATTGCCGTTCTCAAGGAATAAGGAATCTGGTAAGACTTTATGTGCTTGCTATGTTTGTTTTTGTGCTCACTAAGAGTTTATGTGCTCACTATCAAGGCAAAGGTGCCATAGGGGGAGTTGGAGAGATAATATGTGGGTGAGCTACTCACCTAGCACACAGCTGACTCCAGTTTGATTCCCAGCACTGCAGAAGATGCCCCTGAGCACTACCAGATGTGATTCCTGAGTACCACCGGTGTGGCACCAACGGCTTACTCCTGGCTCTGCCATTGCACGTCATTCTGGGTGGGGGCCCTTTTCAGTTCTTTGTCTTTTATCAGTGCTTATGAGAGTTGATGTCAATTCATACACGGCAAATAAAGTTTTTGTTGTAGGATGGATCTGGCGTCATTGACTCTTGTGAAGTGTCAACAGAAAATAATCCAACAACTCGATTTCCAAAACCCGAGTTAGAGATTCAGTTTACCCCCTTACGGCCAAACGTAATGGCAGTGAAACACCCCGGCTGCTCCTCACTAGTGACAGTTAGGATTCCCAAGGCCCGGAAGAGGAAAAGTAGTGAAATAGAGGAGGTGAACTTTTTTTTTTAAAGACACCGTATTTACAATATTGATACTGGAAGGGTTTCATGCAAAAACCACTCCAATGCTACACCCTACACCAGAGTGTCATCTTCCCTTGGCTGTATCCCAGAACCCACCTGCTCTTCCACCCGATCCCCTCTGCAGTGGTGTGCTTCCTGTTAAAGACCAGTTCTCAGTTTCTATTGTCTTTGAGTATTTTTGTTTCTTTACTACATTACTTTATATAAATAGGTGAGGGAGATTATTCTGTGCTTATTCCTCTGCTTCTGAGTAACTTCATTCACCATGATACATCCAAATATTGGAGATATTTATTTAATATTTAATGGGTAAGTAAATTACTAAATTCTGCTCTTACAGAACAGAGTAGTATTTATGGTATAATTTATATTTTATACTCTAAGAATATTATCGCAGGGCTAGAGTGATAGTACAGCAGGTCGGCATTTGCCTTGCATATGACTGATCCGTATTCAATTCCTGGCATCCCATCTGGTCACCCTCAGAGCAGTACACCTGGGGTTCACTCCCAGCAGTGTTCAGGGAACCACAGGGGCTGCTGGGTATTGAATCCAGGTCTGCTGCATGCAGGGCAAGTGCCCTACCCACTGTACTACTACTCTGGCACCAGATATATTAACTTTATTGAAAATCATACCTGTAAAGATTTTGTAGAAGATTCTTTCAATACTGATTCTAAAACCAAATATTCTACTGTGTTGAATTTAATAATAGATAGCTTAAAATAATTACTGAAATACATATCATTTTTATAGCAACAAGCATATAACTTAGAAAGTAGAAAGAATAACTATATTACAATTAAAAAACAATTTTCATGGGGCTAGAGCAATAGCACAGCAGGCAGAGAGCCTGCTTTGCACACAGCTGACCTGGGTTCAATTCCGGGCATCTCATATGGTCCTCTTAGTAATTCTTGTGTGTAGAGCCAGGAGCAATCCCTTACCATCACCAAATGAGATTGTCCTCAGCGTTGCGGGATCTTGAGCAGCATTTCTGGCCTCTGCCCGTTCTGTCTAGTCACATCTCTGATCTCTCAGGCAGGGGCAACGCTGTCTCTGTGGTTTGTAGACATAGCCAGGATCCCTGGGATCAGATCACCTGGTTAAGATCTCAGTTTTTTAAGTGTAGAGAAAAAATATTTTTAAGAAATTAACCATTGGTGAAATTTATTATTTTTAGAATTTGGTGAGGGCTAGAGCGATAGCATAGCGGTAGGGCGTTTGCCTTGCACGCAGCCAGCATGGCTGATTCAAGTTCGATTCCTCCGCCCCTCTAGGAGAGCCCGGCAAGCTACCAAGTGTATCTCGCCCGCACGGCAGAGCCTAGCAAGCTCCCCGTGACCTATTCGATATGCCAGACACAGTAACAACAAAGTCTCCAATGGAGACGTTACTGGGCCCGCTCGAGCAAATTGATGATCAACGGGAGGGCCTTTTTACTTAGAATTTGGTGAAATGTGAAAATAAGAAGAATGCTACACCCAGAACCAATCCAAAATCCCCTTTTCCAGAGTGCAGAAATTCTCCCAAAAAGGAACAACAGGTTTGTCTTTTGATTTGTCCCATATTAGCTCTTTCTGCAACTGTAACTAGAAGATAAAAATAAAGATGTCAGAATTGATTAGTATTGGAGCCAGAGAGATAGGACAGCGGGTAAGGCTCTTGCTTTGCACATGGCCAACCTGGGTTCAAACCCCAGCATCCCGTATGGTTCCCTGAGTACCACCAGGATGGATTCCTGAGTGCAGAGCCAGGAGTAACCTCTGAGCATTGTCCGATGTGACCGTCTCCCCATCCCTCCACAACCTCCCCCCCCAAATTGATTAGTATTACCAGTTTTACTCAATATAATTCATTTAGCATCTCTTTCTCGTTCATTCATTCATCTTGGAATAGAAACATCAGCATTTGGCCACAACTCGATGTGTTTATTTCTGTATTAGCCCTCTGCCTGGCACAGTACTTTGCCATCCTCTGGCCCTTTCATCCTGTTCTTCACATACTTAATAAAATAAGTTCTTTGCCTTAGGCTTCATAACCTATGTCTGCCGTCTTCTTATGTTGTTTTGATTTGGTTTGGTTTGGTTTCAAAGCCACACCAACTGTGCTTAGGCCTTACTCCTGGAAGGGATCAGGGGACTGTATGTGGTACGGGGATGGGGGGGCGTCAAACCCAGGTCAGTGCAGGCAAGCGCCTTATCTGCTGTACTATCTCTTCAGCCCTTTGTCTGCCACCTTATTTTTTTCTTTCTTTTTGGGTCACACCTGGCGATGCACAGGGGTTACTCCTAGCTCTGCACTCAGGAATTACACCTGGCGGTTCTCAGGGGACCATATGGGATGCTGGGAATCGAACCTGGATTGGCTGCATGCACAGCAAATGCCCTACCAGCTGTACTGTTGTTCTGCCCCCACCCACCACCACCCCCCCCCACCATGCTTGCCTTCTTAGCTGTGTTTACAAGTATTTATTTCTGACATTCCTCAGCAACAATAACAAAACACGTTTGTCTATTAGGTTTCCACACAACTTCCATCTAAGAAAACTTATTCTTTACAAATTCAAGCCTACAATGTTAGTATTAGCTTGACTACTAAGGAAAAAGAAGAAACGTTACAGAAATTTGGAGACTTCTTACAACATTCACTAGCAATTCTTCAGTCAAAAGGTTTGTTGAAAATTAAATGACCTTGCATGTTAAGTATAAAGTATTTTCTGATGTCTGGTATATAAAGTCAATGGCTGATTATTATATTTCAAACAGACTAATAATAATAAAAGAGTACCTATGTTAGATACTGTGGAGGTTCAGGGGATAATAGGATGATAAATCTAGTGTTTAATGTGAAGTGGAGAAGTAATGATCTGCCTAAGGTAACATTAAACTAGTGATGAAAGTTGCAAGCAGAGTGCTATAGGAGTGTTGGATGAAAGAGGACTATAGTGATTGGGAATCTGAAAGAAAATTTTACTGAAGAAATGAAATTTAATCTGAGTATTTAAAGTTGTCAAGATTACAGGTTTTAGTATTTCATATAAACCTCCCCCTTGGTTTATGGACCACCCAGTGGTGCTTAGAGCTGATTCCTGGCTCTGTGCTCAGGAATCACTCCTGGTGGGGCTCGGGGGTGCTGGGGATTGAACCCAGATTGGTCACATGCAAAGCAAGTGCCCTATCTGCTGTACTATCACTCCATCCTCAGGTTTGAATTTTTTTTTTCTTTTTGGGTCATACCCAGCGATGCTCAGGGGTTACCCCTGGCTCTGCACTCAGGAATTAGTCCTGGCGGTACTTGGGAGACCGTATGGGATGCCAGGGATCAAACCGGGGTCGGCCGCGTGCAAGGCAAATGCCCTACCCATTTTATTATCGCTCAGGCCCCAGGTTTGAAATTCTTAAGGAATAATTTCAGATCTTTGATGTTTGAAAATTATTACAAGAATGAGTGTCTATATTTTTTTCACAGCAAAGAAGATAATTGAAACAATGAGTTCTTCAAAGCCCTCAACTGTAGAAGCAAGTAAAGAAAATGAGTCTCGACCGAAACGGAAATTGCACACACAGGAAATTAAATCTCCTGTTGATATATCTGTCCAAGTGGTAAGCTGCTATTTCAGTTTCCTTAAATTTTCTAAAGTTTTCATAACAATTTAAAGTATAAATCGATTGAATTTCTATTCTCTCTAAATCAGATCTCTTAAAATACATGTTTTAAGAATAATATTTGTTATGTGGGGCTGGAGCAATAGCACAGCTGGTAGGGCGTTTGCCTTGCACTCGGCCGACCCAGGTTCAAATCCTCCACCCCTCTCGGAGAGCCCAGCAAGCCACCGAGCGTATCTCGCTCGCACGGCAAAGCTTGGCAAGCTACCCGTGATATATTCGATATGCCAAACACAGTAACAAGTGTCACAATGGAGACATTACTGGGCCCACTCAAACAAATCGATGAACAACGGGAGGACAGTGACAGTGACAGTAACTTCTTATGTGATATATACTAAATATGGGCTGAAGAGATAGTACAGCAGGTAAGACACTCGTCTTGCATGCAGCCAACTTGGGTTCAATTCCCAGGCACATAAGGTCTCCTGAGCCCCTCCAGGAGGAATCCCTGAGTACATGGCTAAAAGTAACCCCTGAGTTACTTTGTTTTTTATTGCTCCCTGGGCTGGAGCAATAGCACAGCGGGTAGGGCGTTTGCCTTACACGCGGCCGACCCGGGGTCAATTCCCAGCTTCCCATATGGTCCCCCGAGCACCACCAGGAGTGATTCCAGAGTGCAAAGCCAGGAGTAACCCCTGAGCATCACCGGGTGTGACCCAAAAAAAAGTAATAAATAAAAGTAACCCCTGAGCATAGCCAGGTATGGCCCAAAAACAAACAAAAAATTCATACACACACACACACACACACACACACACACACATAGTCTATATAAATGCTGCATCAATATACACAAGTGTTCTACATTTACATTTGTAAATTCATAGGGGAATTTTAATTCCATCCAGAGTTGTTACTGGTAATTTATTTGCTTCCAGAGTTCTTTTTCTTGCTATCGTTATCACAAAAGTTATACAAATCTGGGCCAATGTGTGCCTGTTAAAAATGGAGAATTGTTAAGCGAAATGTTAAGCGAAATGAGTCAGAAAGAGCGGGATAGACACAGAAAGATTGCATTCATCTGGGGAACATAAAGCAACAAAACGGGAGACTAACACCCAGGAAGGGCTCAGATTAGTACCAGGAATTTTGCTCCATGACTTGAAGGCCAGCCACATGTGCTAGGTGAGAAGGAAGCTCAGATAGAGAAGAGAGCACCAAATAAAGGATGTTGTGAAGACCCTCCCAGGGTGGGAGAGACATGCTAAAAGTAGTCTATAGACCAAACATGATTGCCATTCAATGCCTCTCTGGCAAAACACAGTACCCAAAAGAAGAGAGAGAGAACAGGGGGGAATGCCCTGCCACAGCGGCAGGGTGGGACGGGGGGGATGGGGGGTCGGAGGGATGCTAGGACCCGTGGTGGCGGAGGATGGGCACTGGTGGAGGAATGGGTACTTGATCATTGTATAACTGAAACCCAAGCACAAAAATTTATAAGTCTATAAGTGTACTTCATGGTGTTTCACTAATAAAAAAAATGATAAAAAAAAATGGAGAATTGACGTTATTTCCTCCCACCTTTTCTTTAAACATCCATCCACATTCCATTAAGAAAAGACTGTAGTTTATCACTCTAACACTTATGACTCATTCTCCTCACTCAGAACAGGTTGTGCTATTGCAGGGAAAGATCTCATTTTCTCGCATGTAAAAATGTACTTTGGAGAAAAGCCTTCAACAGAAAATGGCAAAGAAAAATCAGGGGAGAGGCATTCGCAATATTACCTATCAGATAAAAGATAGACATTGGGGGGTGGAGGGGCATTGTTTGTTTTAGGCCACATCCAGCAATGCTAAGGGATTACTCCTGGCTCTGCACACAAGAATTACTCCTGACAGAGCTTGGAGGACCATATGGGATGCCAGGGGTTGCCTCTGGTCAGTGTGTGCAGGACAAGCACCCTACCTGCTGTGCTATCCCTCTGGCCCCATGAAAATCATTTTTAATTGCAACATAATAATTAATCTTTCTACTTTCTAAGTTATATGCTTGTTGCTATAAAAGATCATAGCAGTAAAAGAGTCTTTTGCAAAATCTTTACAGGCATGATTTTCTATAAAGTTAGTATATCTGGAACTAGAGTGATGGTACAGTGGGCAGGGCACTTGCCTTACATACAGCTAATCTGTATTCAATACCCAGCAGTCCATATCACTGCCAAGAGTGAACCCTAAGTTCACCACAAGGTGTGACCCCCAAAATACAAAAAAAAGATAATATACCTGCAGTTTAAGAGAAAAGAAGATCTCATACTGTACCTACTTTTCCATTGTTAAGCTCATGAACATCTCAGTCATTATATCTTTTAATTCATTTTTCATTTTTTTAATTGTGAAATTGTTTATTTTAGATTGTGATGAACCGGAAAGTGATCGTGAGATTCTTTTTTTTTTTTTATATTTCTTTTTTTTCCCCCTTTATTTTATTTTATTTTTTTTAAAGTTGTAGATTTACAATTTTTTGTGCTTTGGTTTCAATTATACAATGATCAGATACCCATCCCTCCACCAGTGCCCATTTTCCACCACCATGGATAATATCCCTCCCACCCCCATCCCCCCATCCCCCCTGTCTCTGTGGCAGGGCAATCCCCTGTGTTCTCTCTCTCCTTTTGGGTGTTGTGGTCTGCAAAAGAGGCATTAAGTGGCAAACATGTTCAGTCCAGAGTCTACTTTCGACATGCATCTCCCCTCCTGGGAGGATCCTCCAAACATCCTTTATTTGGTGCTCCCTTCTCTATCTGAACTGCCCTTTCCTCGAGGATACCCGGCTGGCCTCTAAGTTATGGAGTAATCCTCCTGGTGCTGATCTCAGCTATTCTTGGGTATTAATCTCATACTTTGTTACTTTATATCCCCCAGATGAATGCAATCTTTCTATGTCTATCCCTCTCTTTCTGACTCATTTCGCTTAGCATGATACTTTCCATGTTGTACCACTTGTATGTAAATTTCATGACTTCATCTTTTCTAAGAGCTACATAGTACTCCATTGTGTAGATGTACCAAAGTTTCTTTAACCAGTCATCTGTTCTTGGGCACTCAGGTTTCTTCCAGTTTCTGGCTATTGTAAAGAGTGCTGCAATGAACAAACAAGTGCAGATGTCACTTCGACTATACATTTTTGCCTCTCTGGGATATATTCCCAGGAGTGGTATTGCTGGGTCAAATGGGAGCTCAATTTCTAATTTTTTGAGAATCAACCATACTGTTTTCCAGAAGGGCTGAACCAGTCGACATTCCCACCAACAGTGAAGGAGTGTCCCTTTCTCGCCACATCCACGCCAGCATCGGTTGCTTTTGTTCTTTTGAATGTGGGCCAGTCTCTGAGGTGTGAGATGGTATCTCATTGTAGTTTTGATCTGCATCTCCCTGATGATTAATGATGTAGAGCATTTTCTCATGTGCTTTTTTGCCATTCGGATTTCTTCTTTGAGAAAGTTTCTGTTCATTTCATTGCCCCATTTTTGGATGGGGTTGGATGTTTTCTTCTTGTGGAGTTTAACCAGTATTTTGTATATCCTGGATATCAACCCCTTGTCAGATGTGTATTCGGTGAATATCCTTTCCCATTCTGTAGACTGTCTTTGTATTTTGGTCACTGTTTCTTTGGAGGTGCAGAAGCTTCTTAGTTTAAGATAGTCCCATTTATCTATATCTGTTTTCACTTGCTCGGCCAGTGGCGTGGCATCTTTGAAGACACAATTAGCTTCAATGTCATGGAGGGTTTTGCCAACTTTATCTTCAATGTACCTTATGGTTTCTGGTCTGATGTTGAGGTCTTTAATCCATTTTGATCTTACTTTTGTACATGGTGTTAGGCAGAGTTCTGAGCCTATTTTTTTGCATGTAGCCGTCCAGTGGTGCCAACACAATTTGTTAAAGAGGCTTTCCTTACTCCACTTCACATTACTTGCACCTTTATCAAAGATTAGATGAGCATATGATTGAGGAGAGATGTCAGTGTATTCAACCCTGTTCCATTGGTCTGCAGTTCTGCCTTTGTTCCAGTACCATGCTGTTTTAATTATTACTGCTTTGTAGTACAGTTTGAAGTTCGGGAGGTTGATTCCTCCCATTTTCTTTTTCCCAAGAATTGCTTTAGCTATTCGTGGGGGCTTATTGTTCCATATAAATTTCAGGAGTGTTTGCTCCATTTCTTTGTCATGGGTATCCTTATAGGGATTGCATTGAATTTATACAATGCTTTCGGTAGTATTGCCATTTTGACAATGTTAAGTCTCCCGACCCATGAGCAGGGGATATCTTTCCATTTCCTCATGTCCTCTTTTATTTCCTGAAGTAGCGTTTTGTAGTTTTCTTTGTACAGGTCCTTTACTTCCTTAGTTAAGCTGATTCCTAGGTACTTGATTTTCTGGGGCACAATTGTGAACGGGATTGTTTTTTTCATGTTGCTTTCTTCTCTCTCACTGTTTGCGTATAGGAAAGCCATGGACTTTTGGGTATTGATTTTATAACCTGCAACTTTACTATACGAGTCTATTGTTTCTAGGAGTTTTTTGGTGGAAGTTATTGGGTTCTCTAAGTAGAGTATCATATCATCTGCGAATAGTGAGAGCTTGATTTCTTCCTTTCCTACCTGAATGCCCTTAATATCTTTTTCCTGCCTAATCGCTATTGCAAGTACTTCCAGTACTATATTGAATAGCAGTGGAGAGAGTGGGCATCCTTGTCTCGTCCCTGATCTTAGAGGGAAGGCTCTCAGTTTTTCCCCATTGAGGATGATGCTTGCTGTAGGCCTGTGGTAGATGGCTTTAATTATGTTGAGGAAGGTCCCCTCTATACCCATTTTGGCTAGGGTTTTCATCATAAAGGGGTGCTGGATCTTATCAAATGCTTTCTCTGCATCTATTGATATGATCATATGCTTTTTAAATTTTCTTTTGTTGATATGGTGGATTATGTTGGTGATCGTGAGATTCTTAAGCGATGACTTCGAGCTAAAATAGCCAAATAAATCACCAATGAAAAGTCTTTTAATATAAATACTATATTCATAATAATTGTAACTTCCATTTTCCCTTTTAAAGCTTGTTGTATATAAATATATATGTGTGTATATATATATGTGTGTGTGTATATGTGACGCATTAAATTCCCATTTATATACATTGCTATTTTATAGTAGAAATAATTGAATAAAGAAAACAAATCAACAGTAAATTTACTTGTCTGTATTTTCCTTTTATCCCAGTCTTATAATCAGTGAAGGTCCTGGGAAAAAATGCTTTTGTTTTTGTTTTTTCTACAAATAGATGTTATAGGTCAGCTACTTGCTTTACTTATAAGTATCTTATGAATTGTTTTTCCTGCAGCTTTCAGAAAAATACAGCCAATTTTATGTTTGTCTTATAGAAACAGTCCAGGGAGCTAGTATATACAGGAATTCCAGTAGCAGCAACTATAAAAAAGGTACACACACAAAATTTAGAGATCTATCTTTCTTATATAATAAAGTTTGAGTTCTGGTTTTCCTAGGGCATAGAGGGAGACTTGGAGGCACGTTAGAAATAATATTTTCTTAATTTTGTAGATGAAAAACTAGTACTCAAAGTTTAATTATATTCTCAAGATACAATGACCTTCTGTTTTAAAAATATACAGTAGTGGGGCTGGAGCAATAGCACAGTGGGTAGGGCATTTGCCTTGCACGTGGCCAACCCGAGTTCGATTCCCAGCATCCCATATGATCCCCTGAGCACCGCCAGGGGTAATTCCTGAGCTCAGAGCCAGGAGTAACCCCTGTGCATTGCCGGGTGTGACCCAAAAAGCAAAAAGTAAAAATATACAATAGGGGCAGAGCAATAGTGTGTGTAGGACCAGTAGTGCCCCTGAGTATCTCCAGGTATGACCCAAAATGCCAAAAAAAAAGAATTTCAAGATGAGGGCAGGAAAAATAGTACAGTCGGTAAGTAAGTGTGGGATTATAGTTCTAAACATTTTAAGAAGTCCCATTGGTTTGTCCTTACTACCCTCCTACCCCCCTGCAGGGAACTTAGGTTTACTGAGTTACAACCACCACAGTGCCCCCTAGGCACATCCAAGTCTATTGGCCACTCCCAATCCTCAGTGTTTATCCTTAACCCCTCCTTTGTGTTTTTCTTTCCCTATCTGTTAGTCACAAATATTTCTAATCCAGACACTGTAAATTGTAAAGTCAAATCTTGTGAGGGCTATGGATTTTATATATGTAAGTGAAATACTGCTTTTCTCTTTGCTTTCTGTCCTTTGCATAGTTGATTTTAGAGCAGTGTCCTTTTTGTATAGACACAGGAAGACAGTGAATGCTATGCTTTTATAACTTGGGAGCTAATTGATTCCAAATATGTACTCCTAGGCATATGTTATATTTACTTAATTTAAGCCTCAGTTGTCCTTAGTTCCTAACTCCACAAAAGGGCTTCTCACCAAGGGACTTAGATGGACCCAAGGGCAAGCTGTAAGCTACCCTGGCTTTAAGAAGGGACAGGCTAAGTGCCATGACAAGTATAATAAGTTTAATAAGTTATGAGCACAGTCATGGAACAAACTCTGACATTACTCAAAAAGAAGTAATTAAGTAAGGATCCTGTTGGGGTTAGGAAAAACTAACCTGGCCTGAGAACTGTAGTCTGGGAAATATAGTGAAATATCCCCAGGAAGAGCCACCCTTTAAACTTAATATATACTGTGTTAATAATACTGTGTTATATATACTGTCATATATGTGTATATATATATTTACACATATATACTGTGTTAATAATACTGTGTTCATACAAAATCACCAGAAATATTATTAAGAAGCAAATTTACTGGGGGCTTGAGCAATAGCACAGCAAGTAGGGTGTTTGCCTTGCACGCGGCCGACCCGGGTTTGATTCCCAGCATCCCATATGGTCCCCTGAGCACCACCAGGAGTAATTTCTAAGTGCAGAGCCAGGAGTAACCCCTGTGCATCGCTGGGTGTGACCCAAAAAGCAAAAAAAAAAAAAGTAAATTTACTGTGATTATATGAATTACTAGCTAAGGAAAGGAGAAAGAAATGTGACCTTCAATAGAATTCCTTGGGCGATCTAGCAGGAATCTAGAGTGCGGGACCCCCTAGATGAGATTCTGTCCTCGGGTGGATCTCCTAGAAGAACTTCCCCCAAAGGAAGGGCTTTGCATCTGTTCCTTGTTTATGCTAATATTCAACCACACCTATGTATAATTGTTGCCCCCCCAACCCTTCACTATTTCTCTATAATTAACGCTGTGAGACTTAAATAAACGGCCACTGATTCCCAACCAGACGAGTGGCCCCCATTTCTCTGTCTGTTGGCTGGCCAAGGAACAGTGATTGCACCTGAACACCCCAGGAGATCCCCAGGTCACCTCAGGGCACTGGCTTGGGACAAGAACAAGTAAGTAGTGCTTGCCTTGCTTGAGGCCAACTTCAGTTCCATCCCAGGCATCACACATCTGGGTCCCCTAAACACCTCCAGTTGTAGCGCAAAAATGCAAAACTTCAAAATGAGAAATGGTGAAACCATAAGAAGGAAAAGAGGATGTAGCATATGCTCTGGATTCATCCATGCCACACTGAACACTGCCGGAAGTGATCCTGATCCAAGAGCGTTGCAGAGTGTGGCCAACCAAAAATAAAAGCCCAAGAGATGCAAATATAGTACATGTTAAAATGGGAAGAAGACATATGCTGCTGAGATCTCTTCATGATGTATTTTTTTTTGTCTTCAGATGCATTAGGATCAATTAAGATCCCTTTCAAAATATGCTGGTTAACTTTTATGTATGCAGAGAGCTACAGGCCAAGACAATTTGGAAAAATTGACATAGCTTACCAAAATTCCTTTTCTGGTTTTTCCCACTCAGGAGAATTCCTCAATCCCTCACTTTTTTTTTTTTATTATGCCAGGATCTGTCCTCAGGGATCACTCTTTGCTGTGCTGGGGGAGCTTATAGGGTGTCAGAGGTTGAACCAGGTTGACCCCAGCAAGACAACTGCCCTAATTGCTGTTCTATATCGCTCTCCCACCGGCTGCAGTCTCTTGAACACCTCTCTCTCCCTCTCTCCCACACTCACACTTCTCTAAGTGAATTTCTTTCAATAAAATTATTTTGTGGGGGCCAGAGCAATAGTACAGTGGGCAGTGTGGGTAGGGCGTTTGTCTTGCACGCAGCCAATTGGGTTTGATCACTGGCACACCATATGGTCCCCCAAGCACCGCCCGGAGTAATTCCTGGGTGCAGAGAAAAGAGTAACCCCTGAGCATCACCGGGTGTGACCCCAAAAGACAATATATCATATATGTGTATGTATATGTATATATATATTAAATTTATAGCTTCACTTTTGTAAAAAGCAATTAAAAATGTCGAAGTGGCGGGCCAGAGCAGTAATACAGCAGATCCGGCACTTGCCTTGCACACAGCCTACCCAGATTCAATCCCCCATATGGTACCCCGAGCACTACCAGGAGTAATCCCGGAGCACCACCAGGCGTGGCCCCAAGACAAAAACAATATTTTAAACTGGAGATTCCAACTATTGGCGGGCTATGCCCCGGCCCTCCTCGGCCCCTGTGCGCGGCCCCCGCAGCAGCTCGCTGGAGACCCCGCCCGAAGCGGGCGTGCCCCGCCCGTGTCTTCCTAGATGTTGTAGCTCGGGGCTGGCGGCGGGGGCGCGCGCGGGGGTCTGGCCGCTCGCGCTTCCAGGTGTCGCGTCCACGTGGGAGGTGAGACCCGGGCCGCGCGTGTGTGGCCTGCCGCGGGGACGCTCGGGGCGGACCGAGCCCAGCAGCCGGGCGCGGCGGCCGACAGGGACGAGCGACCTCCTCCGCCGGCTGCGCTCCGGGGCTGCACTTCCGGCTCACCCGACCCGCTGCAGTCACACACGCGCGTGCGCACACGCACACCACCCCCCCCACACACACACCCCAACACACACGCACACCGACACACACCTGCACACACACACACACCCAAACACACCACACACAAGCACACCTGCACACACACACACACACACACACACACACACACACACACACACACACCTTCCAGAGCTGAGGCTGCCAGAGTTCCCACGGGCCCATTTCTGCGCTGGGCTGGGAGCCGCCCTTGGCGGCCCCAGGATTCCCTCGTTGGCCACAGACCTTGTCAGCCCGTCACTGGCCTGGTTTGGGGGCTCAAGAGAAATTCCTGTGAGGGACCCAAGTGTCCACAGCATTTCCCTGCCCACAGGACGTCGCCTTCGAACCCCTGCACCGTAGAAACGAATCCATCCGGAGAGGCGCCGAGCGGAGGTCCTGCTCCGTCAGCTGTTCGGGCGATCGGGATGCCACGTCTGGAAGCGACCCGGTCGAGCTCCGTGGGCCTCCGAAGCAGGTGCTTCTCGGGGGCAGACGGAGCATGTGTGTGGGAGCAGCGAGGGGAGTGCTCACTGGCGTGTTGGCTCCAAAACCCTGCGAAGAGACGGGTGGGGAATGCACCTGGGGCACCTCAGAAGAGAGCCGGGGAGGGCTGGCCAATTAGGGGGACAGGGGTCCCCACTCCTGTCGTCGTGGGACTGTCATTTCATGGCGTTTTCTCTTTCCCTGACTCCCTTTCCAGGACCCGCCGTCCCGAGGTGAGCAGATGACAGCTCCAGGTGAGTTGAGGACTTTTTTTTTCTCCAAAAAAATGGACATCTATGAGAAATCCGTGTTGGCTTGCCGGGGAGAGGGGATAAAGGAAGAGCATCAGCATTGAGTGCCCATCTAGTGTCACCTGTCATATCCCGCCTAGTGATTTTCTCTGTACTGACCCTTCATTATGAAACACCCGTGGGTACCAGACATTAAGATGCTGGGAACATTATATGACTGAAACCCAAACATTAACAACTTTGTAATTGTGTATCTCTCTGTGATTCAATTAAATAATAAATAAAATTATACAGAATTTTTTAAAAAATGCTCAGGACACCTGGCTCTCAGTTAATGACACCAGGCACTGCACGGGTCACTGCTGACTGAACTGATTTATTGTTTTTCACTGAGCATCCTGTTCTTGGCCAACTCCCCAGAGAACTTTTAGGAAAAGGATCATCGTGGTCTGCTCCTCTCCCTTAAAACTCCCCTTTTCCTGGGCCAGAATGATAGTACAGAGGGTAGAGGTTTTTTCTTGAACTTTTTTCTCTTAATTTTTATTAGTTTGGGCCACACCTAGTGGTGCTTACACACTGCCAACCTGGGTTCAATCCCTGGCATCCCATATGGTCCCCTGAGCACCACCAGGAGTAACTCCTGAGCGCAGAGCCAGTTTGCAACCCCTGAGCATCGACAGGTGTTACAAACAAACAAATCTCCCCTCTCCTGTTAGGCATTTCACCCAAAATGAAAGTTAATTCAGGCTCAAGGAGATAACTCAAAGGCTAGAGAGAAGCTCTGGCAAGCAGAGACCCTGGATTTGATTCCCAGTACTGCATGTTCCCTGGGACACCAATGGGGAATGATGTACCTAAGTACTAAACTGAGGTTAGCCTCTGAGTACCATCAGGTGTGATCCCCAGAATTAAAATGTTATTGAAAGCTTTACACACACACAATCCAATGCTAAATTATCTTAGAAACACAATCTGTAGTGCTCTTATACATGAGTTTATTGGACATAGGGGAAAAGTTTACACATTAAGGAAAGTTTTGGGGGAAGGCCAAAGTGATAGTACAGCAGCTGGGGTTCTTGCTTTGCATGTGACCAACCCAGGTTTGAGACCCAGCATCCCATATGGTCTCCCATACATCACCAAGAGTAATTCTTGAGCATAGAGCCAGGAGTAACCCCTAAACACCTGGTGTGGCACAAAAGGAAAAAAGGAAAGTCTTTTTCTTTTTCTTTTTTCTTTTTAAATTTTTATTAGTTTGGGACCACACCCAGTGGTTCTCAGGGGCTGTTCCTCTGTCTGTGCTCAGGAGTGACCCCTGACCATATTCAGGAGACCATATGCAGTACAGGGTATTTGAGCTGGAGTCATGCAAGGCAAACGTTTTAACGCCTTGTTATCTCTCTAACTAAGAAGAATCATTTATTAAGCATAAATGTAGTAGGTCACATACCTTATACATGTGAGGGCCTGAGTTGGATTCCCCCCCCAAAAAAGGGGGAGGAGGTTAAAAAGCGTTAAAAGCATGAGTAGTATGTTACAGAGCAACATAGTGGCTACCAAATAACTCATAAATGTGCAACAATAAAGCTGTGCACCAGAATCATCTGTGATGTTTTTAGTTGTTTTATGGGGTTTTGGTTTTGGTTTTTGAGCCACACGTTGGCACTGTATGTGCCAGGAATCCAGCCTAGGGCTCCTGTAGGCAAAGCAAGTCCCCCAGTTCGTGCTATCTCCCTGACCCTGTGTTACTTTTTATTAATTTATGTTCTCAAGCCCCCAACCCAACCCCCAGACCTTCTTTTTTTTTTCCTTTTTGGGTCACACCTGGCAATGCTCAGGGGTTACTCCTGACTTTGCGATCAGGAATTACTCCTGCCAGTGCTCAGGGGACCATATGGGATGCTGGGAATCGAACTGGGTTAGCTGCGTGCAAGGCAAACGCCCTACCTGCTGTGCTATCGTTCCAGCCCCACCCCCAGACCTTCTTAAAGAATTTCACTTCCTCTTAATTCCTCTTATCTTTTTGCTCCAAAATTTTGTGGGGCTGGAAAATTAGTGCAGTGGGTAGGATGCTTGCCTTGCATGGGGCTTATTCAAGTTCAATCTCCAGCACCCAATATAGTTCCCCAAACACCGCCAGGATTGGTGATCCCTGAGCACAGAGACAGCAGTAAGCCTCAGATATCATCAGCAACCCAGAAACAATCAACAACAGCAATCAATAAAAAAAAATAGATTAGAAACAATCAGTAATGGCAGAGATGTGAAAAAGGAGCCTCATCCACTGTTGGTGGAACTGTCATCTGATTCATGCTCTATGGAAAACAGTGCAAAAATTTATCAAAAATAAAGAACAGAACTTCCATATGATCCAGTAATTCCACTTCTTAGCGTTGACCCCAAGAGCGCAAAAATACTTATTTAAAAAGACTTTTGCAGGGGCCAGAGAGATATACAAGCGGGTAAGGCACTTGCCTGTGTGCAGCTGACACAGGATTGATCCTCAGCAGTTCAGATAATCCCATGAGAACCATCTAAGTGCAGAGCCAGGGGTAATCCCTGAGCAATGCTGGGTGTGTGGGTATGGCCACAAAACAGCAACATAAAAATTGTTGCATAGGGGCTGGAGCAATAGCACAGCGGGTAGGGCGTTTGCCTTGCACACAGCTGACCCAGATTCAATTCCCAGCATCCCATATGGTCTCCTGAGCACTTCCAGGGGTAATTCCTGAGTGCAGAGCCAGGAGTAACCCCTGTGCATCGCTGGGTGTGACCCAAAAAAATTAAAAATTAAAAAATAAATTGTTGCATATCCTTCTGTAGAGTTAAGAGTGTGACCCAGGGGGCTGGATCCATAGCACAGTAGACAGGGCATTTGCCTTGCACGCGGCCAACCCGGGTTCAATTCCCAGCATCGCATATGGTCCCCTGAGCACCACCAGGAGTGGTTCCTGAGTGCATGAGCCAGGAGTGGCTCCTGTGCATCGCCGGGTGTGACCCAAAAAAAGGTCAAAAAAAAAAAGTGTGACCCAAGGGGCTGGAGAGATAGTATAGCGAAGCAGGTAGGACATTTGCCTTGTATGTGGCCAACCATGGTTCAATCCCTGGCACCCTTTATGGTCCCCTGAGCCTGCCAAAGGTGATCCTTGAGTGTGGAGCCTGGAGTAACTCCTGAACTCCTGAGCACATCCAGGTATGGCACAAAGACAAACATACCAAAAAAAAAAGTGTGACGCAAAAACAAAACAAAAGAATTTTTCACTTTAATCTTTGTAACTGTATCTCACGGTGATTCAATTTGAAAAAAACTAAGAATAGACAAATTGAATTAAAAAAAAGAATTTTTCACTTCTATACTCAGTCCTCTTTTGAGAGTGAGGATAAGAGAGGGGGTTTCCAGGCAGAGCTTGGAGAATTGAGTGGCCATTCCCAGTGATAATCTGCTGATTACATAAGACAACTCAATATAAGAACCCACGATCTGGTGCTGTTAGGACCCTATGATGTTGGAGGCCACCAGGGCCACCCCCAGCAATGCTTTGGGACCATTCAGTGTTGAGCATTGGAACACATCATCTCAACTCCCTAGCCTTCTGTCTTAACATTTATTCAAAGGATATTACTGTAAGGTCAAGACTAAACTTTTTCTAGTTACTGTCTGCAGGTTTTAGGGAATCTAAATCTGAAGTATTGACATCTAACCTTTGTTCCATCACTAGGTCCCTTGTTTCCTAAGAAACGGAGAAAAGTTCTGTGGATATCTTTTTAAGAGAGTGAACTTAGATATCTGATGAATTGATTTTTCTGACTCCTATTAGAAGAGATGGGGCATTACAATAACTAGCAATCCGGATTATATTGGAAATCTTCATGAGGGAATGTCTGGGGAAACTGAACAAAATTAGTTCAGAAATAGAGAAAAGTATCACTTATTTCCAGAAACAAGAGCAGTGCATTGGCTCTGTGAAGTGATTATTTTTTAAAACATGGAAAGTGAGAAACACTTATCTTTAACAAGCCTAAAAACCACACAAGACAATTCAGTGACATCCTGTAAGAATGATGAAAGCAAAAGTCTCTCCGTAAGTGAAGAAAGCAGTGAGAGAAGCACAATGGAGAGGAAAAGTCTTCCCATGGACCACTGTTCAGAGAACCTTCAAAAGAATCTTGTGTCTGAGGTATCAGAACGAACCTCGCCCTTTTTAGGTGGTGAGGCAAAGTGCCAAAATGGCAATGGGGCAGCGGCGGGTGTGTGTACGGCGGAGCACGGGAATTGCGGGCCTCCGGGGTGAGGAACCTGCTGAGGGCCGGGGCATGGCCATCCAGACCCTCCCAGGTGACCCAGCAGTTTCACTGCTGTTGAATCTCTATATTCACTTTGAGGGGCAAAGTCACAGCCCCACCAATGGCATGAGACACTGTTCCCATCAGAGTTTTCATTGGCTGCCCTGGTGTGATATTGCCATTTGAAGCTGTGGATCTCCAGGTACCTGGAGTTTGTCATATCAAGTTGCAGAGCCCTGTCTAGACCCCTGTCTATCAAGGTAAGTACACTGAGAAAAGGTTTTGTGCATGCGCGCGCGCGCGCACGTGTGTGTGTGTGTGTGTGTGTGTGTGTGTAGAAGGTTTGGTTTTCTTTTTAGAGGAGAGGGGCTGCCCTAGTGATAGAGCCGCATTCTGTGCAATGGTTGCCGCGGGCAGCCCTCCTGCCAGCCTGCAGGTGGTAGTGATGCCTGCGAGCTGGCCTTGGAGTCAGCCCCTGGCTGGGCCTGTGAGTACCTTCTATGGGACCCAGGGAGGAGTCCCCAGGCCAAGGCAGCACTGAGTTTTCTCTCTTATAGCCAAACTCAGACCTTCTGTTGGGAAAGGTAACACAGATGTCAACTCATTTTCCTTCTCCTGGGGAAACAGAAGCATCTGGCATTGTCTCCATGGCGGGTCTATGAGCCAGTGCCCAAGAGTGTGACTGGTCAGAGCTGGGGAGTTGTGCTCCTCTCCAGTGC